TTCAGTGGACATTTAGATGAGAAAATATATATTTAACACATTTAAGGAAAATACTAATAAAATAAAAATAAACAAAATAAATGTTTATTAAGCAATTTTGATAGGAAATCCATTAACATATGTAACTATTGATTTTTGTATTATCTTTATGGCATACAGGTGGATACAGAAAGACTAATAAAACAAGTACTAGAGAAAGTGTTTCCTGAAGAAAATGTGGTGGACGCTGACAGCTGAATGGTTCGACTTGAATTATAATTGTTTATCTTACACCGGTGTGTACACTGAATATGCCAGATCATTCACATGAAAGCCAAAGTGCAGAACTGTCGAAAGCTGAAGTTCACACAGAAGATGGTTATTTCTTAAAATAAGGTTAAACGTTTGAAAGTAGCTGAACATCTTTGAAGTTTACATTAGAAAAAAACTGACAAAAGAAAATTTGGAACCAACAAATAATCTGAATGAATATTAAAAGCTGATATTCTTTAAATCGCTTGAAGAGTGCTCTTATGTATTTTAAATATCTAAAGCCCAGAATATTTGCACAATATTTGATGTGTGTGAGAGTACCATGAGTGACATAAGGAGAAACAGAGGAACTGGCAGCAGGTAAAATCGTTTTTAAGGTTTAACTGGTTTGTGTATTTCATTTTCACACTGTGTGTTAGTGGGAAGATAAACTATACAGGCTTAAAACAGAGACATTAAATGAGGTTAGATGAGTTTACCACAAACAGGTAAATGGTGCCAGTCCAGATTTGAACCACCTGTCTGATGAAGACAAATCCACCAATGAAAAATAAGCCTGAAGTTAAGGTGCCGATCAGAATCCTCTGTTATTCCCATACATTTAAATTCACCAACTGCCAACAGCTTCAGGTTAGACAGCAGTAAAGTCTGACATGCTGTTACTCTGTTACAAATCCCTGTCAAATTTGTCTTGCTGCACTTGCTGAAAAACTACTTCCATCAAAATTTTTTTGAACTGTGAGGGTCTCGAGGACTTGTCCACAAATGGGCTTGTTCTTCTCACTCTACATGCAGTCTGAAAAACAGCAGCTTTGTCAAGTTTGCAGCACAAGACAT